CTCTTCGAAGGTAGGTTCTCCGAAGACATCTGAGAATGCGCCTCCGGCACCGGCCCTCGCTTCTTCGACTTCAACTGCCTCGGATCCATCTCAACTATACTCATGCCTCCACCGGCTCACAATCTGGAGAACTCCATCGACAAGACCCAGGCTTTGAGCCCCTCGGTAGTGACATCTCCTCTTCCTTAATCTCTTGCGCTAATAGTGCAGAACTTTCCCTATTTGGATAGGTTGGATGTGGGTTCTCCTGTATTGGCAGCGTTGAAGTCTCCTCCTTCACGAGTTGTCCAGATCCCACAACTCTCTAAGGGGTCCCAGTCTTCTCGGGCCTCCTCGACTGAACCGAGATATACTTGGGCTCAACGTCTGCGAGCTTCGTCACGTAACCTTAGTCGTGTAACGACTCCTACTCTCACGGCAGCGGGAACCCCTCGGATTCGTGTACCTAGCTCTGTACTACTCGAGGCGTCCAAGACCTGGAATGGTTACTTAGTCGGTCAATTCTACGGTTCCACTCCGTCGGGTTCCAAACTCTTTCAGGTTCTTAACCCGATTTGGGGAAAGCGTTCGAAGATCCATGTTAGGAGAATCAACAATTCTATCTGTTTGTTTTATGTTCCAGATCTTTCCACCGGGCAATGGATATTGGAAGTGGGTATTTGGTGGGCTATGGACGTTATGTTCACTGTGACGAAGTGCTCGGCCACCCCAACCTTTCGGACAGAGGCTCTTCAGTTGGCCCCTATATAGGTCACTCTTTCAAATATCCCTGCGGAGTTGTACTCACTCCGTGGAATCAGCTACATCTTGCGGTATTGGAGAACCGTTACATAGGAGAAGATGCGCCTCGACCCGATGAGCGTAGGGGAAGCTAAGGTTAAGATCGAGGTACAACTGGGATCAAACCTACCGGAAACTATTGAAGTTGAGGATGAACATGGGATAGTCATCACAATCAACGCTACCTATGCCTGGATTCCACCGAAATGTCCTGGTTGCGGAGAGTTTAGACATAAGCAAGCTAGCTGTCCAACGAAACCGGTTTTGCAACATAAACCGGTAATTTCCCACAAGCAACTGAACATGTGTCTACTACAGTGCATGATATTATACCGCCATCTGCTCCGTTGGCCAATACTACGATTATGCCACCTATTCAGATTTCACACTCTATGTCGACATCGTCTGCTGCTTCGTTGGACGATACAACGACTGTGTCTCCTACTCTGATATCACAAGCTATGTCGACACAGCCTCTGCCGACCCAACCAGAATCGATTCTTCACACTCATCCAGCTTCATTGAAGTCAGGTACTTCTGCTCCTAAATCGGGGAATCTCACCTTACAAAAAAATAATCCTTGCAAAAAATTAAACGCGTTTTAATATTTTATCTTCAACAAGCATTTTCCAATGTTGCTACGGTCCAAGAAGGCCAACGTACTCTTCGTTCTCGTGATATCAAAAACACTCTTGACCCTTCGGACTTCACACTTGTCGGAAAAGTTCGGAAGGGAACAGACAAATTTTAATATCCTTATCATCTAGACTGACCACTCGACTCCTTGTTTATCACTTGATTTCTGAGTTTGAAACGTCTATGACTGCTATGATATCACTCTTATTTTTTTTACTTGAATTTGCTATTGTGAATTTTGTGGTATGTGTCTAAGAATGGTTGTTTCAGTGGTCTCATTTCTTGTAAGAACATTTTATATTTATAAGATTTACAGTTTACCAAAAAAAAACATTCACTTTCAGGGCAAAAACGAATTGATTTTTGTGTTCGTGAATCATTGACGAATATCCATGAGCGGGATAGTTTTTCGGTTATAACCGGATTAGGTTATTTCAATTTTATAAAAATTATAAGCCTTTTAATTTTCATAGTGAATTTGGTTCTATTACATCAATTTCGAAATCGATTTTTATATATATAATACTATTTTTTTTTAACAATAGAAAGAATTTCATAAAAACTTTGTATTTTTCTCTCGTAATAATTTAAACATTCATATTTCTTTTATCCTAATAGATATTGTATTTATCATTTATAACAATAAAATATATATTTTTAAAAAAATTAGCAAATAAATAAATCTCTCAATTCAAACGAAGGGAAACCTTAAAAGTCCATTTCATCCAACAAACTCTATCTCAGTATTAAATAAAATAAAAATTAAATAAATAAATACAAAATACAAATTAAATAAATAATTATATATATATATATCGGATTTAAATTGATATAGACTCACGCGAATATACACATGCATCATCATTGTCGTCATCATCATCATCATCATCACTCTTTGATATAGACGCGCGCGAATATATTTCAGTTGAAATTTGCCTCTTGTTAAGGTTAAGTAGGCGACACGTATTCCATCGCATTAAAGA